TTAATTACGTGGAAAAGGGCTGACGTTTTTTTCGATGAAGCGATCGACTATTATTTTAAGAAATAAAGAAACTACGAAAACGTGTCATTGTAGCAGGGATGAAGATCAGATTCTGAATGAAATGAAATATTCAAGGGATGTCGTTAGGTGTGTCGAATTATGAAATAATGCCCACGTTATACGTCGGTACTTAATTATTCCTCTGTAGCAAAGACGATCCCTTGCAAAGCGAATTTAATGATAAAATAATGCAAATTTGTGGGTACATAAATTTGCTTACGTCACACGAATGGTAGTCTGCTAATTAAAGCTACGAATAAAAAATTATTTATAACTCCGCATATTTAATTTTCCTTAATTAAATATAATGTGTTATAAAATATTAGAAGCATCTAATTGTCAAAATGAAGTATTATAAACACAACACATCATTAAATAAACTTTTAGGATATACAATATAGAATATACTTTTTATAGTCATCTTTTTTTAGCTTATTATTATTTATTATAGCAATTAATCCTTTAAATAAAGTATTTTAATTCTTATTGTGCTTTATTATATCATTTCCCCTTTTATGTTGTAATATAACAATTATGCAGTTCAGTGAACAGCAATAAGTACAGCATCTCGGGTAAATCTTAATACTCGCGTGAATTATGAATTTAGAGACGTACTCTTCGAGAATAATTTATAAAATTTCGAATTTGTACTGATACGGTACAACGTGAGTGCCAAGAATAACACGGCGTTAAAAATGCTGACGTCAAAACTGCAGAGAAGCAAGGAAAACCTATTAATGGCTGAGTAGCGGTCGCGTTTGTTATAGGTCAATATCATAGAGCGCAGAGAAATATGATGTTGATCTTCTAGACTGGGATAACGTAACAAAATGCAAATAATTACAAGAATAATTTAGATCATAATGCTGAATAGACAGATTGTAACCGCAAATTTCCCTTCCTGTGAGTCTTTTCTTTCTCTCTTTCTTTCTCCCAAATTTTGCATAATCAATATCGTTTGACCCATTCCTGTCAAATTGAAAATTGCATTTGCTATTCTTCTATCACTTCATACCACATTCTACATATATTTTAAGCATCTAAATATAGATTTCTTGTTTCAACTCTAAATTTTGTAACATAAACAAAATACTTTATTTCTTAAGAAAACAAATATTGTAATATTTGCAATAAATGTTAACAGAATATATTAGGTGTTGGAATTAATTCGTAGCGTTTTTTAATGAAAGAATGTTATTTATTTCACATGAGCATTAAAAAATACATTAATGAAAGTACTTCCCATCACTTGTAAAACGCTACGAATTAATTCCAACACCTAATAAATATACAAAATTATGGCACTCAATTATTCCACTGTAGTGAGTATTACAAAATAATTACAATTTTTTAAGACATTTTGTCTTGCAATATGACACATCTTTAGTTATATATTATTTAATTTACATATAAATACAATAATGATTCTGTATATTGCATCATCATATTATATAGACTTCCCGGGAAAAAATGTTTTGCATGTATATATAATCATATATAATTATATATAATTATATATAAAATTATATAATTATATAAAATGTATCCATTTATATAACATTTTTTCCCGGGAATTATTATAAAAATATACAGTATTATTTTATTTCTCGTTGAAAATAAACAATAAAGTCTGCGCTACAATTATTAGCATTAAATTGCTTAGAATATCTTAAAATACTTATAGAAATTTCGATAGAACCTGGATAGATATTTTCTACAATGTGAATACACTGGATGCTCAATCCCAAGATAGTTCGCAGTTTGCTGAGTCACACTCGCTAGTATTCTTTCTAAAATACGAAGTTATTGAATATAGTTATTAAGCATAACAAAATAAAAATTAAGATCATTCTTTCACATTAAGGTTTTTTTTTTAGTTAAATTTCTTGTGTGCACCATTCAACTTTATTTTTATTTCTCCAAATAAAAATTTTTAATTCTCACGTGGAGAGAAAAAAAAAAGAGGGATGAACCGTGCAAAAGTTCAGCTGAAAAAATTTCTTATTCCACATAAAAGTTAAATTGGGGAAGAAAAAGAAAGATCCGACGATAATGACGGAAATTGCCGATTTCCATCATTATCGTTGGATTTTTCTTTTTCTTCCCCATTTTAATTTTTATAAAGATTAAAAAGATTTTTCACGAATCGTGGAATAAATTTCTATTAATTCTTATCGAGTCCCTCTGGTTTGAGATGAAGTGTTTTCGTGCTTTCGTGAGCGTGACTCGGTATCGCGAAGCGATCATTACGCATGCTAAGTAAAGACGGCGATTCGACGAATTAAAAACGACAACCAGTTGAGTGAGTTCAGGCGACCCCGACAGCCTACTTGTCACGAAGTCAAGCACTGACATCCGCGGAGAACCGGTGAATTGAAATTTACCCGGCCACGTGTCAGGTGAAGCACTCAGGACGATAATATGCACGTGCGTCCGCACAGCTCGTAACTGGATACGACGAAACAAGAGGGTTCCATTGGGTTATCATAGGGTGATACGAGGCCACGACTCCTAAAGAGTCTACACGTGACGCACTTATAGATCACAAACGTGTCATGTTTCAGAGTAATTATGTCGATTCCTTCTTTTTGTCTAATATGTACATACCTGTCGTTTAATTATAAAGCGGCAAAATAACTCTTAATTTACTTTATTACTAAAATAATAAAATCAAATTTTTACCCTTCCTTACTTTTCTGCGTTTATTGATAAATTTTCTATTTTGTAATTTTTTGTTTCTATTTTATGAGGAATCTTAATGATACCTCTTATTACAAAAAAATTTGTTAGCTGCTGCAGTAGTTGCTTTATTGCGAGATGCATGTCTTAAATAAGGTACGTTTTGTTTCATATATAATGCGCATATTGTAGAAAGCTCATTGATATTACATTGGAATTTGATCAATCAAAACAAAGTTTACTAAAATTAGTATTAATTTCCTTTCTTTTGATTAAACTGTCAGTCCAGTCTCAGAACTACTTCGACTAACTATGATTAACTTTAATCGACGGTTAGTCCGTGGAATCTGTCGTTGACAAATGCGATTGGTCAATTCCAATGGACTAATCATCGATTGAAGTTAATCAGAGTTGATCGAAGTGACCCTCAATCTGCATCTTGAAACGCGGTGAAAATTACAAAAATGATCAAATTAGACGTTGACCTATAAAATTATAAATAAACATTATAATAAATATTTGTTCACTTTGTGATTTTTATTTTAACTTCGTTTCAAGATACAACAGAGCTTCTATTCTTGAAAAGAAACATTACACATACTATAGCACTTCCCCAGTTTTTCGTATACGTTTCTTTGCAAAAATAATAAGTTATAGATTAGTAAGTTGTTCCATCGTTCCGTCTGCAATTTGACAGCTTAAGACTTAAAACACCTATTGTAAATCCGAACTTATAGAATATAAAAATTTATAATTTTATTGCATACTTTGTTTTCGCGTCATTTTTTTTATCCCGATGGCGGAGACCAGAGCCAATCAAAAGAAGAAGAAGAAGAAGAAGAAGAAGGATCTTCGACGACACTCTTCTTGATCTAAAAGTATGATCCAATCAACGCGAAGAAAACTTCCAACTTGTAAATTAAACATTCTGCTGAACGCAGCCGTTGGCTATCATTATTCCTTCTGCTTAACTCTTATATATCGAATCTGACACAACAATTGTGAGATGTGCTTTTGTAAAAAGTGGAATACGGCCATACAGAGAAAGTCCCAAGGTGAGTGCTCTGTCAACGAGAATCGTTTATTCCTCTCCTAATCCTATATCTCACCTCAAATTTTGCTAATTGTCGTTCGCTTCTAATCGAAGCTTCACATTAATTGTATTTTTAGTTTTGTTTTTTGAAGTTATAATAATAAAAATGTTTTATCTTCATGAAACATCAAAGACGATGTAGAAATTCTCAAGAAAGAATCTTGAAAGATAGTTTATGTTAAATTCAGTTTTAATAAGAATGTTTTGTTGTCTTTTCAGAAATATTAAAGTAGCGAAATAAAACTTTTCAAATAAAAGATCTCAATTTGTTGAGTTTATTGAAATAAATTAGTTTTGTATTTTATTTAACTTATTTGCATAATTATAAGAAAATGAAGATAATTGCTAAATCTTATGTCTGTGATCTAAATTATTGTAATATGTCTTTTATTATTAATAGGTATATTTCTAATAAAGAACAAAAAGTCAGTAGATATTATAGATATTAATTTCAGATAATCAAGAATCATTTTTCCAGATTTTTTTATAATTCACTCAGATATATGCACGTTTTATTAAGAAATTATGTATATATAATATAATTTGTAATATAAAAGTTTATTATTTATTGTGAATTAATCTATTTTTAGGAAAAACCATATTTAAATTTTCGATGTGTATTTTGAAGGAATAATTGTTGACAGTTTGGATAAAACAAAAAGATCTTTAAAATAAAATAAAATAAACTTTAAAAGTAAAGTACCGGATGATACCAGTAATTATTCTGAAGTAAAAACGTTTCCTAATATCAAAAATTCTAATAGCAAAGAATTTAGAAAGGTACAGTCAAGTTCTTTAAAAGATCCTCATATCTCGAAAAATCTAAATAATTATAATATTACATCTGAGAACAATGTCACTTTAAACAAAACTAGTCATATAGTCGAATTTAATAACAATATTGCTTGCGAAACTGTTCAAAATAAACAAGCAAATGAACCTGTAGAACTTTCTGCAAACATTAAGATAACAACTAATAAATGTGACAAAACTAACTATATGTTAAAAGAAAAATTCTATTCCAGTTTAAATTTGATTCATCAGAAGTTACTATCTCACAAGATAATAATTCGTTTCTTGTACTAACGAAGCAAGCATATTGCACACTAATCAGAATAAAATCAAAAGAAGTATCTCGAAAAGTCAAATACAGACCAGTAGCGATACAATGGAAAAATCGGATGAAATTTCGAGTAAGCGACAAAAATTAAATGAAAGTGCGTGCAATACCAGTGAAGGAAATTTAAATAACAATACAGTGACGTTTCAAAGAAACACATTAATAGCGGAGCAGCAAAATGATTATTTGATAAATAAGTTAACTGAGAACGAATCATCGGATACAAATTTAAGAGCAGGATCAGAAATTACTAATAATTACCAGTCTAATCCATACAAACATGAAGGTATTTTTATACTTTTTCAAATATTTGCATTATTTGGTAAGATGTAAAAGTTTGAATTTTAAACATAGATAGTGGGAATAAATGGGAAGAGAAACAAGAGGAAGATAAAGATAAGAACAATAAAGAAGTGACCGATAACTTTAAAATAAGAAAAATATTTCCTAATTGGCATATTGTACCGGAAGTGATAAATCGCCAAATAGGTAGCAATCCATTATTCGAAAGACAGTTCTATAGTTCTTTATATGCAGTAAAGCGGTTCGAACTTATATATAAACTTAATGAATTCATACCGGTAAATTATTCACCTTATAAATGTTATACATTGAACTACGCAAATTTATACAGTATATTGAAACCATCACTAAGCTATTCTTATATTATTAATGGTATGCATTGACATTTGATTATTATTTATAGGATTATGAAATAATAAAAGTCTTAAATTTTAATCACAAAGGAAATTTATTAATGTGTGTCGCTCGTGATATGATTTCTATTTGGGATTGGGCTGTAGGCTTTTATCAATAATGAGAACTTCTTTATATCAGATGTATGTATTTATAATTAATAACATTGCGATTAGAGTGTTGTATAATATATAATTATTTTAATGAAATTATATTAAAAAAACATGTTTATTAATCTTTTTCTAGGATTTCAAAATGTCCTTTCCAAGAAATATTTTACTCAAAATATATAATATACGTAATATATACTATAAATATATGTATATTAGAGTAAAATCTTCTTCGGTGGAGAACGTTTTGAAAAGTAGCCTTAATTAGTTTTCCTAATTTATAATTGTATGAGTTTAGGCCAAGTGGCTGCCGTGGGAAAATCTTATAGCTTTTTCTGATATTTATTATGTGATATATATGCTGGATATTGAAAGTGGCATATCGATGAAATTGGCAATACGCTCTGGAATCTCGAAATTGGCTGTGCATCCTGAAATACCTCATGTAATTTTTTCTGCTGGAACTGACTCAAGAGTGATATCCATTGATACCCGGGAAAACGAAACAAAAGAGTGAGTAATCATAAAAAAGATTAAATATATTGTATATTTATATTTTTTTATGTGAGCTATGTTTACTCCTTACGGCATATCTACTATATTAATTTTTCATATCAAGAGTTTAGTTCGTGATTGATACTCAAGATTATTAGATTTCAATACCTGCTAAACTGATCAAATTACAAAGTTCAATCAATATGTATCTATCTTCGATTTCAGTTATATAATAAAAGAGTTTTTTTTCTTATTATAATATTTTTTTATAATAAATCCTTTGTAACATATATAATTTTTTTTGTCCATAGGTTATTTGTAGTAAAGACAAATTCGTCAAAAATATCATTATGCAGTATAGAGTTTAATCCTTTAAACAGTAATGAATTATGTGTCGCTGGTTTTTCCTACTGTGTCATGGTATACGATCGGCGAAAAGTTTCAAAACCTCTTTATAAACTATGGCCTAATTATATAGTACGTCGTCTTGTACTGTTAAGTCTGTCTATTACTAAAAAAGTTTACAATGAAAGCAATAGAATAATATAATTTGTTATTACATATATGTTTAATTAGACGAAAGCCTCTTATTATGAGATAGGCACCTAATATGAGATAGCGCCGTTTTTGCTAAACTAATAAACGCTATCTAATAAACGCTATCTTGGTTCCACCATGAATTTTTTGCTCTTGGATTAAAAACTATTTAGTAGAAGATTTATTATTAGGTCATGCCTGTAGTCATTGTAAAACAAGATTTTAGAATTTGGATGTCTTCAAGTTTCATTGAGATGAGCCTTTAAATCTTGTTTATTATGTAATAAATAAATATTTGACAATAAATTCTTCTATAGTGATAGAGTAAGGTCATACTAATAGAAAAATACAAGATATGTTGAATTGTTCAATTACAGAAGTTAGATTTGATGATCGTAAAACCATAAGGCGTAGAAATCGTAATATGAGATACCTAGAGTATTTATAATATAATATGAAATAACTCGTGTTCCTATGTTATAGTGAAAATCGATGCTAAAGTCAAATGTTATTATAAATAATTAATGTTATTATAAATAATTAATTGTAATATTGATATATTTTTCGTTTTACCATCGATTTCTCGGGGCATCTCATATAAAGAGCACAATTTTTTGACTCTGCGATTTGCTCACTTTTTACATTTCTTTAATTTAAAAAAAAAATAGAATTTGAATTAAATTTTATATATTATCTTAAAACTTATTAAATTCTCTTCAAAAATAATCTATTATTTTTTTTAAATTCTACCTATAGACTTCCTGCATTTACCCAAAATGAACTCGATATCTTATGATAAGGGCCTTTCCTCTACATATATAACTTTAATGTTTTAGATAAATAATGATCATGTATTTGTAACGTCTGCAACGTATAATTATAACGGAGAAGAAATTCTCGTTTCGTATAATCATAAGGACTTATTCCTGTTTGATAAATTAACATTGTCACTTGGAGATTACGACCATACGTATGAGAATTATGTGGATATGTCACCGTGTAGGTTATATATAAAATGCAATTATATTATTTTACAATTACATTGTTTTTTATTGACGGTTTTTTATCATTATAGATCTTTTTAATTCTTAACCGTTATTCTTTATGCGCATTTAAATAGAGAAAAACTATAGTATAATTATATTATAATTTTTCTCTAAAATTTTTTTTCTCTAGTTTTTCTATTATACTATAGTTTTTTTCTAAGTGTATCACCGAATCCTGTTTCTGTATATTGATATACAGGTGATACACTTTTGAATTAATTTTTATGTGTTGCTAATAAGAGACTTATTTAAAAAAATTTTTCTATAGAGATGTCTCTTCTAGAATTTGCTAGCATAGTTGAGAGAAATGATGCTTTAAATAATTCCGATTTATTAATATTTAATTAATTATTTACGCCTTTTGTTGGTTAATTACAGTATATAATGGTTATTTTTTCGGACCTAAAAGCGAATATGTTATATCTGGAACCGATAATAATATATTTATTTGGGAAAAAAATTCAGAATCTATCATAAAATATATGAGAGGAGATAAAACATGCGTAAGTTTTTCTATTTCATAAATTTAATATAAATAAATTTTTCTTATTTGCAGTATGAACGAAAAAATAGCGACTCTTTAAAATTTAATTTATATAACTAAAATTTAATTTAGGTAACTCACTTGGCGAGTCATCCGTATATTCCCATGCTTGCGACTTGCGGATATGATAACAACATTAAACTATGGATGCCTTCGAATAAAAAACTTTCGAGAATGCAGTCATTCGGCAATGTACGTAAAAATTATCTCTTTATATAATCTCTTCCATTTTTTTTTGTTATCTTAAGGGCATATCATTTAAGGATACAATTTTTGATATCACATTCTTGATAAAAACAGTACAGTGGAACGCAGTAGTGTAATCGCATCGATGAATGTTGTGATTCATACATTTCCTTTTTTTCACAAGTATGTCAAGTCTCACGCGAGAAATAGGGAGGAAAATAACAATTTTTTTCTCTGATTATTTGATAGAGCTCTACAGAGATCTTATTTGTCATAGATAGAAAAAGAGAAAGGGGGGGGAAGAAGGAGGTAGATTAAATTGACTATATACACATTATTGATTTCTTCTGCAGCATTTTTTTGCGGATCCCTTTATATTACCAATGTCCAACTCCAAATCGAGACGATGATGATGATAGTACTTAATTCCAATAGTTTCTGGTCGGATAGCTCTATCGAGAATAGTCTATCTGAATGCGGCGACGTTGAAAGAATACAGTGTCTTCCATCTTAAAACTGGTGCTTAAATTAATATGATTTAATATTGCGATGAAAATTACATGTATAACGTATAAAACATAACTTTTTATATTACAAAAGAAATTGCAAATATAAATTCAGAGCGATAATTGAATGCACAATTAAAATTGTAACCAATTAATTAGAAATAGAAATATGAATCGTTTAATAATAGATATATTCGCGCATCAGTTATCGTGCTTCACTCTGTTTTTCATTTTTTTCTATTAATGTTTAATATCATAAGTCGTATATAACTTACTGCATTTTTTTATATTAATCCTTTCACAATTGTAATAAATTTTACTAACTTCACATAGTGAAATGTATATAATGGTTTTTTTTTTCGCCACAACGTATCGAATATGCTTTGCATTCTAGTTATGATTGATCTTTTATATCGACTGAAAATGATCTATTTCATATCTCTCAGTACATATCTTGAATTATATATAAGTTGGTTTAGTGTATTGTTAATTTTTAATACATGCGTTGAACAAAATAAAATTAATTAATAAAGAAGTAAGTGAAAGAAGAGAAATAGAAAAAGGAATGAATATTTTAAAAATGATAAATCATGTGCAGAGTACAATTTTTAAGTTCAATTATATATCCTTAATCCATGATATAAAACTGTATAAAAAAAACATTAAATAAATATTGAGAGAATTTTGCTCTTAAATAATTCGAGAGAAACTTGTTTTATTCAAAACCAAATCTTTTGGAAACACCACCTGTATAAGGACTGAATAAATGATAAGGCAAAGTGATCGGTGTCTTGACTTTCGTAAACGGACACTTCGTGGTTCAGTCGAAGTGACAAAAAATCCTAGGAGATCCAGCAGCAAGTAGTCCAGCAACGGTGGGAAGTAAAAAGATCAAACATAGTAAGATTTCATTATTTCGCACAAAAATCATTTTAAATATAAACGACGAGCAGCAAGAGTAGTTAGTATAAAGAGCACTTTGATAACGAAAGATCTCTTACTTTTGTAAGTAGCAAATATTACAACGACGTTCATTATATATTTTCTCTTGACATTTTAATCTATTGTAAGGAACATGAGAGAACGTGAGGTAGACTTTCTATCTGCCTAAATTATTCTCCGCCGGCGAGTTGTACGTGCTGGCAAGGCTAATGTACTTCGACAAGTCCTATCATCTAAGACGTAGCCGCTCCTACTTACTTCCTCTGAATGGACATCGCAACCGATACTTTAAATGCAAGCCTGCTGTTGACATTTGCTTAAATCTTACTTAGTACACAATACGCTTTGTAAATAGATTTTAAATTTAACTCTTTCTATTTTCTAATTTCAAATAGTAATTTGTATAAAATAGAAACTCGACATTATTAAAACAATAATAAAATAATTATTAATTTAATTAAAATTATTTAAGACATTATTTTAAATTAAAATACAAGCATTAAAAAGTTTTTATTTTAACATTTTTATTTAATTAACTTATCGTATTACTAATCGAAAATATTATTGTAATTAATTAATTTATGACAAATATATATAAAATACGTAAAGAATGTAACTAATGATTCTAGAAATTATTTGTACCAGTTGAACAGACTAGTGTCAGTGGCGCCATCCATTAACAAGCAAAGAAATAATTTAAATATAGCAATATATATAATTTTGTTTTAATAAAAAAGTATTAAAAATTTTTAATTTAAAGCATTGCAGTAGTGATCAAATTGTAATGTTATATTTAATGCTACACTTTATCTAATTAAATAATCATAAAATTCTTTTAAAGAGATTTTTGTTTGTTTTAAAAAATGTATTTTTTACGATACTTCAAAAATATGTAAGAATAATAAAGTTAATGTATAAAAGTATTAAAAATTATACAATTGGTTTTTTCTACTTATTTTTCACTATGCGATATATCAATACTCATATATCAATACAGTGAAACTTATAATGTTCCTTATTATGACTATTGCATTACAATTTCACTTTCTTAAACTGTTTAACGTAATATACAACATTATGGTATAACAGATAACAGTAAGGATATATTCTCAGTATCCAAATTTGTATCTATAGGCTATCTACGCCTTCTATGAGGTCTTTTTTTTATTCTCTTGTAACAGATACAAAGTGCACAGGAAGTTTCGATAATTAAACTCCAAGCGGCCGTTTCTCTCAGTGGAGAAGCACTTGTGTACAGCATCCAACTCATTGTTATTGATGAGCTCTAGCATTCGTCTAACCGACAATGTTCTGATTAAGTGTCCTTTGGAAACCGTGCCAGTATTCTCTTTATCATAATCCTAAAGAACGTACAATTATCAAATTTACTCATTGTTCTTTTGTCTCGCAAAAAAAAAAGAGAAAAAAAAACATTTCACACAATGAATAATTGTCTCTTCAATGATTGTATTGTGTATAACGCAACGTTATAATTTAACGACAGCTGTACTAACTTTGAAGACTTCCTCCAGATTCGGACTCCGCACTTGACACAGTTTATCCATAGCGATAGCTACTTTCTGTCGTTCGTCAAAATTCAGGAAAGTTTTGCTATTCGCCTCGGAAGGCACATGTTGCAAGGGAACCACAAGAGGAGCTTTTTCCAAACACCCAGTCGCAACGGCTTCTTCCACAATTGCCGCGAATTTGGTGTATTCAATGAAATCGGATCTTTAAAGAAATACGATAATCATGAAATAAGACTGTGAAGTTAAAGAAGAAATAAATGACGATAATTATAATATTATAAAATTAAACAATGTTTCAATAAAGAAAATAAATATTAACTCAAGCAGCTTATCTATGTTTAATAAACATCTAAAAAACATTAAATAAACATTATTAAATATATATTTATTAAGTTGACCAAATTTGGTAAAATATGCATATAAAAATCGTATTTCAACCTAGTAAAAAAATATTTATATATATATATATATA